TTGATTTTGATTTTTGTTTTCTTATTCTTTCTCTGTTGCTCTCAGGTTTCAATTCAACATTACGTGGAGGCAGGATAACCCATCATGAGTACATACAAGTTGGTAAAGGGAGAGATGTGGGACTCCACCAAATCTCTATGTTTGAGGCCAAAATCTCAAATGGAAGTGGGGAACAGATCTTAAGCCGTGACATGTATCGGTTAGGCACGCAGCTCGGTTTTATCCGGATGCTGTCTTTATATTTCACTACAGTTGGCTTCTATTTCTGTAGCATGGTAGGTCAATATTCTTCCTTTTCTAGTCTCCAATTCCAATATAGTCCTCCCCATTGGGTACATAAAGAGATGTATTGAATCGAAGAGAAACCATTTTTCATGTGCAGTTAATGGTGTTTGCGGTTTATACATTTCTCTATGGCCGGTTGTATCTCGTTCTTAGTGGGGTTGAAGAAAACCTGTTGAGCCATACACGTGACACCAAAGCTCTCCACAATGCTCTCGCTCCTCAGTCGATCGTGCAGATTGGCTTCCTAACGGTCTTGCCCACTATAATGGTGATTGGAGTTGAGAACGGATTCCATAATGCACTATTCGATTTTGTGTTGATGCAACTTCGCCTTGCTCCTGTGTTTTTCACATTTCAACTTGGGACAAGAGTCCACTACTTCGGGAGGACATTGTTGCATGGAGGTGCAGGATACAGAGGAACTGGTCGTGGTTTCGTGATGGGGTATGCCAAGTTTTCTGAAAATTACAGATTTTATTCTCGTAGTCACTTCGTGAAGGGTTTCGAGATGGCCATCCTCCTTCTTGTGTACCACGGTTTTGGATCTACACATCTCCTGGTAACGTTTTCCATATGGTTAATGGTGGGATCATGGTTATTCGTTCCATTTCTATTCAACCCTTCTGGTTTTGAATGGCACAAAATTCACGAAGACTGGACCGACTGGATTAATTGGATATATGACACTGATTCTGAGGGAATTAGTGTTCCTCCAGAAAAGAGTTGGAAGTCTTGGTGGAAGAAAGAACAAGAATATCTCCAAGACTCAGGGACATTTGGTTTTATGTGTGAGATTGTTTTAGCATCTCGTTTCTTCATTTTCCCATATTGGCTCGTGTATCTGCTCACTCCTTTTGAAAAGAATCAGAGCATATGGGTATGTTGCTTCTTATTAAGCATTATGAGTCTTCATTTTGTTAATTGATTCTTCTTTGCCCATGCTTATGGTCTTTATTGTATAAACTGATTCTTCTTTGCCCATGCTTCAGGTGTATGCGGTGTTATGGTTGATGATCACGGCTATTATGCTCATTGTGAAGGTATGTAACTTTTATGAATGCTTCACATGTTTAGTTCTTCATATATTGAGTAATAAACTGGGAATTTTGTTTCGAATATGATTATCACAGTATTCGGGTAGGCTAAGGCCATCTGGGACGAACCCCCAACGTGCTTTTAGGATCACCAAAGCTGTTGGGTTCCTCACACTTCTGGCAAGTCTTATTGTCATCGCATTTTGTCATATTGTGACCCTCAAAGACATCTTCCTCAGCATGCTCACATTAATCTCAACCGGATGGGGAGTGCTACTTGTAAGTCCTCTTGATCCAACAATGTCTTTTTCTGGTTTTGAGATATCTTTGATGTATCATGTTTGGTTGTAGCATAAAAATACGTTTTTCTCTCCCTCTCGTTGCAGGTTGCTAATGCTTGTAAGCCTCTATGTAAAAGGTTGGGGATTTGGTCAATGGTGAAGACATTGGCTTGGAGCTATGACCTCTTGATGGGGTTTCTTCTGTTTTGTCCTATTGCGGTGTTAGCATGGTTCTCATGCGTATCAGGCTTTCAGACAAGATTGCTTTTTAGGCAAAGTTTTGGCAGACGTCTAGAGATCTCAAATATCCTTGGTGGTAAAAGACGTGCTGATAGCGAGTGAAAACTTATTGATTCAACTGTTTTGCTTAATGTTCCAAAGCTTTGCACTTAGCCTTGCAACAGACTTGTTTGCATTTTGATAATTTTGTGTGACATTACGATCAATTACAATGTTAGAAAAACACAAGTCTGATTTGCATTTCTACTTCAAGTACTATGAAAATATAGTGTTTACTTGTTTGTTCTGTAAAATTGATCGCTACTAAAGGGAAAACTAAAATCTCTTATATTTGTCTCTCTTCATTGAAACCCCATCAAGAGGTCATATCATGAGTGTACAAGAGAATAAAAATTGGTATATCCTGAAACCGAGTGGATGACATTCTCTTCCCCACCATGATTGTGTAATTCATAAATTTCCATTCTAGACTTTTTTCTTTTTGTTTCACATTATTAATTAGGGGTAAAACATAACTTTTAATATGTTTTTTTTAATATTTGTGAAACAACCTAGAATGGTAACTATTTCGAAACGGAGAAAGTATATTTTCTTAAA